GCTGGGTCCACTCCTTGATCGACTAGAGCAGACAGGATGGCGTTGGTTTCGACGCTGTTAAAGGCTTTCTCGTAGTCTACGAAGGTCAGGACGAGAGGCAGGCGGTACTCCCGGCAGACTTCTATGACCCTCGAAACCGTCTGGATGTGGTCCATGCAGCTGAATCCTTTGCGAAATCCAGCTTGTTCTTGGGGTTGGGCTTCATCCAGTGTCCTAGATATGCGTGCGAGGATGATCTTCGTAAAAAGCTTGTACAGCACACTCAGCAGGCATATTGGACGGTAATTTCGAAGATCCTCCCGTTTATCCTTCTTGAAAAAAAGGACGGTTCTTGACGTTCTCCGCTGGTCGGGAATCCGTTCCTTCTGAAGGTAAGATGTCAGGTGCGACGCGAGAATCTCGTGTAGACGTTGTCCTCTGGCTCGCAGAAATTCGACGGAAAGATGGGCTGGTCCTGGAGCCGTGGATGCCTTCATGGCCTGAATCGCCGTGCGCACTTCAGCAGATAGAATTCGTGGTGGTTCTCCAGTGGGAACAACGGGCATCGGCACGGGTGTCGATGAGAGGAAGAGATTGGTGTAGAAGTTCTTCGCATTCCATCTTGTATCGGGAAGAAGTCGGAGTTCCGTCTTCGTTCAATAATGCAGCCAGCGGTACGTGATATTCACAGAGGTCCTTCGGCATTTTTTGAGACTACGCCTTCCTTCGGCTGCTTCCAGTATCTTGGCTTGCCTGTACTTCCTGAGATCCTCCTGCAAAGCTGTTCTGCAACTGGCGTTGGCTATCAGTCGCTCGAGATGGGTTGCATTCGGATCCTGCCTCTGAAATCTTCTTCTTTCGAGCAGTTCCTTGGTGGTCTTCGAAATACGTTCCAAGTTCTTTTCAGAAGTCACTGAGGCGCACTCTCCGCAGGCTCGCAATCCTTTCAGAAGCCGGTCGTAGTCGTACGTTGGGTCCTCCTCGATGGGCCAGTCACATCTTGATATGAGCTCTTCCAGCCTGTTACTCATAAACGACTTCCTTCTTTCTCGCGGCACTGTTACAGACTTTCTTTTCTAACCTTCGGCGCTGAGTTGTATCTTCGCTCGAAGGAGGCGGTGAAGCCACTGCAGAAGGATGGAACTACTGAGACATCGAGCAAGCTCCACCTTGGTTGGTGAGAATGTGGTCGATCTCAGCATGAGTCGTTTCGTTGGGCGATTCCCAAGTCCGCCGGTGATGTTCTTTCTTCATGAAGATGGAATTTCCATGGAAAAGTCGTGCGGCGGAGAGAAGCCCAACGAGACGGTGCTGTTTTCGTTCCGAAGCCCATATCCAAACTTCCCGATCCTATATTCCTTTTCTAGTGGCATCCCGATTTTCGCATTGAAGTCGCCCACAACATACTTGTAGAAGGACTTTTCGTTGCGAACGACCTTCTCCACGTCTTCGTAGAAAGTCAGCTGCTGATGTTTGAGAGTAGCAGTTGATGACGCTGATGGTTTTCTGACGTGGAGGGCGCAGTCGTAGGATGCCTAGTCGAGGTGATAGGATCTCGTGCGAATCGACAAGATGGACGATAGATGGGTGGACGACAAAGCCAACTCCTCCCACGTTTCGTGAAGGAACCTTTTCACCACGAATGATGAGCGTCCCATCATTCATCTGTCGCACGTCCTTCTTCCTGGACTTCATTTCCTGCAGAGCGATGATGTGGTACTTGATGTGCTCTGCAGTATACTTGGGTAATTCGATAATTTTTCATCGAATGAATGAATATCGAATGAATTCGGAAAGGAAAAATTTCGAATAAACGAATATCGAAATAAAAAATCTCGAATGAGTATCGAATGAATTCGGAAAATCAAAAATATCGAATGAATGAATTTCGAATAAATTCGGAAAATCAAAAATATCGAATGAATGAATTTCGAATAAATTCGGAAAATCAAAATATCGAATGAATGAATAACGAATATATTCGAATATTGGATCGAATTTCGAATAAATATTCGAATGATTTATCGAATAACTAAAGCAGTCACATTTCAAACTTGCCGACATATCTGGCTAAAGCCGATCCAATCATAATCAGCCCCCTAGTATCCCCTATACCAACTCCTAGCTCAAAATTTTCCAAAAATTGCTGAAATCAATAAATAGATCTTGGTTTTAATCAGCACCCTCACTTGCCCCTTTGTACCAACTCCCAACCTCGTAGCTCATGATTTTCCAGAAATCGATAAAGTCGGTCGGCAACTAGTCTATAAACCAGCAAAAAGTCATATTTTACCCATTATTGGACGATCTAAAAAAGCAGTCGATATAAATTTTTATGCTTTGTCCAAAAGATTCTTCTTCATATGGTCTGAAAGAGACTGATGTAAACCAGAATTAACTTTATTTCTTATCAGCATCAACAATGTAAAAGCAAAGGGCTTGTTCTACTCTCTACATAATTGGGATACTTTTTTTCCACGTACTGTAGGAATATATGATGGACATAAGCAAAACATTATACTTCTTCCATATCAGGATTAACAATGTAAAAGCAAAGTGATGATCTACTTTCTACATATATGGAAAACATCTTAAAGCATGTTGGAATATGTATGATATATGGATATGGACAAAACACATCAGCAGTATACCGGCCAAAGGTATACCGGTTGCAAAAGATGCATTACCGAGTTTTGCGAAAAAAAAGCGCGGACGAAGTGAGCTTGATGCTCAGCAGTTGGCTCTGAGTTGGGTTGGGTTGTTGTGTTGGGTCTCTAACAAAGTCGAATAATCTGAATACGGAGTACAGTCGAATACGAATTCGAATAAACATTCGAATAAAACATTCGAATAAAATCTATTCGAAACCCCGTTTTTTGATTATTCGAGTTTTCGAATAATATTCAAAACCTCGTTTTTTGATTATTCGAGTTTTCGAATTTTATTCGAAACCCTGTTTTTTGATTATTCGAGTTTCGAATTTTATTCGAAACCTTTTCTCAATTGTTCGAGTTTCGAATCTTATGCGAAAATGGAAGAACTCCGAATATCGAATTTCGAATACGAATATATTCGAATGTTTTATTCAAATGATCGAATTTCTATTCGATTCGGATTCAAGTATACTCTGCAGCGTCGAGAAGAGCGTGGAGGAGGTCGGCGTTTGTGGAGACTCTCCTGGCGTTGTAGGTGCAGAGCATGAGGCAGTCTCCGTGGCGTGTCGTCCGGGCAGACGTGTCGTTTTTGTCCAATCCAAAAGGCGCCCTGAGGACCCTGACATCAGTCTTGCTTCCATCCGGCGCCGTAGGCGGGATCCGATGTGCAGGGTTTCTTTCTATTCTTCTAATTGGTAGAGTAATGAAATTTTTTCCCTACAAGAGCAGACTTACTAGGCCAAGTCTTGATTTCCACGGGGCGATCGCTGATTCCGGGCTTGGAGCGGGGAGAACCGCCTAGCGACCTGAAAACCAGACGGCGGTGGATCTAGCCTGACCGGCTCTTACCTAGGCATCCGGCCGAATCAGATGTTCAGTATAACTTTGGAAGTTTTTCGTTAACTTCGGAGAAAGAAAAACGACTTTAAAGAAAAGCGCCGGGGATCATCAGGGATCATGCAAAAGCTGGAAAATGCGGTTTGTACACCTTCTCGCTCCTGTTCAACATGTTCATAGTGAAGAATAGTAGGAATACTTACGGATAGGTACACAACGTAAAATCCAGGTATCTGGAGTTTCGAAATATGAAGCTTTCTTTTAAGTTGCTATCCCCTCCCCGCGGCGATGTTCGTGCATGCGGCCCTAAAGTAGTGGAGCTATTATTGATTAAGGGGCGCATGCATTAACATCCTCGCCGGGGAGAGGATCGCAGTTTAAAAGAAAGCTTTATAACATGAAGCTCCAGATACCTGGATCTCACGCTGTCTACCTACCCATAAGTATTCCTACTACTCTTCACTATGATCATGTTGAGCAGGAGTGACTAGCTGCACAAGCCGCAATTTGCAGCTTTTTATATGACTCCCTGATGATCCTTGGCTGCCGGCAGTCTTTTTTTTGCAGTCACTTTTTTTTACTCGAAGTTAACGAAAACTTTTCAAAGCTACACTGATTATCTAACCCAACAATGTTAAGCATGTTGAAGATAAGAACAACTGAGTTTCTGAAATTTCGAATTTTTCGATCACCCTCAACTCTCGACTTGTGGTTCGTCGCAAATTTTATGATTCTAATACATCACTTGTTCCAGCAATATGCTTAGCATTGTTGGGTTAGATAATCAGTACAACTTGGTAATGTCTTCATTAAACTTTAAGAAAAAAAAATGACTTTGAGCAAACGACGATCGCTCCCAGGGATCATCAGGAGATCATATAAAAAGCTGAAAATTGCAGCTTTTACAGCTTTTCGCTCCTGTTCCTCATGTTCTTAGTAAAGGATGGCGGGAATACTTACAAACGAGTAATCGCGGGAAATCCAGATATCTGGAGCTTCAGGATATGAAGCTTTCTTCTAGGCTGTCCCCTTCCCGACGGGGATTTTAATGCATGCGGCCCTAACTGTAGGTAATGTACATGCATCTTTTTACAGAGCAAATTTTTCTTAATACATGCAATCTCTTGAAAGCGAGAGATTAAGATGGAGACAACATGTAGATTCATTCACTACTTATCATTGCAGCAATCCCAACCGGCTAACATGTTTTAGAAAATTCTGCACTTGCACTGCATCATCCTTGCAACGCTATTACAACCTCTTTATAATTATGACATTTCTAAGGTTGTTGTAGAGTTTCCAGTATGTTCATTTCTTCTACGATAAATGACAACAATGTCTTTCGTGCTGAGAAAACATAGAACGTAGCTTAATTCCTCCCGCTCAAAACATTTTTGCATTGCCGTCAGATTCTGTCCTGACCCATCACGGCTGTAATGCTTGAGATTTTGACCCTTCTGAATTTCGCAGCCTTGACTATTTGTAAGGTTTCTATGTTTTTCTCTATGCCTCTATTTAGCGTTATTTTCAGTTTCAACTGGGTTACATTGATCCTGGACCGGTCATCCTTTTGGTCCGAATAGTAGAAAATTGGATCAAAAAAGGTACTTACTTGATGTTTACAATAAGATAAGCTTTCCAGATCTTGTTCAATTTAGTTCGGTGTCATGGTGACTGAAAGGAGGTGAAGTTGTGGAGATGCGTTCTAGTCATAAGTCATTTGCTCCTAATCAGCCTATACTCTCATATAATACAGCATCACCTCTGACTCGAAGTGGGTCGAGTAGCGCCAGGCCGTTAAATCGTTACGATCAGCTTTCTAATAAAGCACAGCAGAATCAGTACAGGGACCGAGGATCGTTTCTACGAGAAACAAGTAGAGAAGAGGCAGTGACAGATTATGCTGCTCGATCAAAAGACGTCCGCCGATCATCCGACGATAGAAAAGCTCAAGATGGCGCCACAAATTCGAGAATTCCTCGTAGCGAAGAAACCAACGCTCTCTTGGAACGTTATGGAGTCAGAAAATCTTCAAATGCTCAAACTGCTGCGCAAACTTATCTTCAACAGCGCAGACAACAACAGCAGCAATCAACTCCAGATCCAGGGACTTCTGCAAGGAGAAGCCTAGAAGGTGGTGGTAGTACATCAACAATGGGCGACGTGGTGCCTAAAGCGGAACTTCCCAAATTCAAAGATCAAAAGCAAACCAGTCAGGAGGAACAAATTACACAAAGCGAATATATAGCTCGGTTACTGGCAGCGCATAACCGCGTGGATGAGCTGCTTAAATCTCGAGGTTTAAGTGCTGAGGATGAATCCAAGTATTTACGTGCTTGGAAGAGGATACCAATCCTTCGCAAACAGAATAGAGTTCCGACGACTGGTAATTCAAGCGATTCTGGCCTTTCTACAGACGACGAGAGTGAGCCGAGTACCTCGGAAAGCTTGAAAGTAAAAGACGTAAGCTATAATGAAGATATCATAAAACAAGAGGTGTTCGGAGAATGCATGATAGTTATGGCGATTCCACCTTCAACACTTCGTTCTTCGTTGACTTGTCGACCAGCGACTACAAAATCTGCCGACGCATCCTTTTCGTTCGGTCGCAAACCGTCATTTAGGCCATTGTCGCGATCTCGAACTGTGAAAATTCATCATATAGAAGAAAAAGAGTTTGTTTGCTTATCTTCTTCCTATGCTGTGCAGGGAACAACACATTCCCTCAAGCGAAGGCAACAGTCCGCTGCGGTGACTAAAGTGATGCCATGTGTAAGAAAAGGAGCTCCGATCAAAGCAGTATTCAAGGCAAAATCAGTAAGGTTCAAAGAAACTCCAGTTGATCTCGAACTTGGTGAACCAAGCAAACTTGAGAAGGTTCACTCCGAAGTGAAATCGCATTTAAAAACAAGGCTAGTAAAGCCAGCTCCAGTTGTAGTACAGCAGAAGACTGTGCTTTCAAATTTAGTATGCAGAGCAAAGTCAACCATTCCCTCCAATGCGGAGATATCAATACAGCACTGCAGTTTCTATCAGGTAGCGGAAAAAGCCATACAAGCTCCACCTGAGAAGAACGTCAGGCTCAACCTGAGACTCACAGAGCGTGCACCTAAAAATTGCTCTACAGTAATTGCTCTGCCCACAACGACGCGCCCACAGTTCGCACATCTGGCTATAAGCACTGGAAGAAGGAAGGTTTTGCGGCGCTCAAAAACTGTAGAGATAGGCCCCGAAAGAGCCACTGACAAACTACAGCGTTCGCTAAGCGCAGAGAGACAAGTTGGTAAGCTTCATCGTTCTTTATCTCCTGAGATCGCAAAGGAGTCAAAACAACAGAGAAAAGTGAATCGCTTGGTCATCCCCGACTCGTTCTTGCATCTAACAGAATTCAAAAACTTTACATCACAAGAAAAGAATGAAATGAAAGGAAAGAACGATTTAGAACCGCCAAAGGAAATCTCAAAAGGACAAACAGAGGAAACAACGATTCTAGCCCCTGCCTCTGAGAAGCCAAAGAGAAAAAATGTTATTCGACGAAGAACACCTCCGAGCACATCGACGACTAGTGACATACTCAAATTGAAAGACGGAATTTCTGTTAGATCACAAATAGCTCCACCTACCCGTGTGACCATCAAAGCACAGAAAAATGAACTCAAAATAGTCGAACCCACTCATGTATCCATTAAAGAGCAAAAAGATGAACCCAAGACAGCTTCGACAGCCACCAGCATCCGAAAAACCTCTTTAAACTTTGGTGGCTCCCTAGATCGTGCCGCGACATCTAGGGCGGCCGTAACTCATCGAGAATTCGAAATCGCGGAGATGTCGCCGACAGATCGCGCTTTAGTTGAGCAATTTAGACAGAAGAAGCATATTCCTCGACCAAAGGTGCTCCCACATGCTTCACTTCCTTCTCCTCCAATAACTCCAACGATACCGCCCAATCAACTTCCCGTGCCAAAGCAGGCAGAATTTATGCGTTTCCCTACGCCACCACGCATACCTCTGCAGACACCTCGACAATCGTCGCCAGGCGCTGCTGCGATTTGCTTAAGAAGGGTGTACCGCACAGTGAAGCAGCTATCAACAAAGGAGCATTTCTTGGAATTTCCAACCTTGAAAAAAGTGGATCACACCCCAAAACCTCCACCGAAACTTAGGCGATCTCAAACATGGACTCCAAGCTGGAGAAGAAGGCAAGGCTTTTACAGTTGAGTGAAACGAAGCATATTGAATATTTTAGTGCTGCCGACGAAGAAAGTGGAAAAAAGAACGAGGAAGTGGCGCTCTCAAAGGGGTAAGAGTGAATTTGTTATTTTATTAGGGTGTCTCATAATTATTTACCCTTTTTACCTTAAACATCAGCATTTCTTGAGAAATAACACCTCCAAAATCTCCAAATACATGATCGTACTTCTGTATGTATGAGCTATGTGATCACGTGTGTGGGAGGAGCTCAGGACTTCTAGGGGCGAAGTCCGCATTTTTTCTTTATTTCTAGCCTTGGAAAAAATTCGAAAAGTGTGCATTCGAATGTGCAATGTGTCAAGCATATGCCAGAGTGAATTTGGAATTTATCAGTTACTTTGGGGCGGAGATACGATTTTTGACAGAATTGTTCGTTTTTGACTACTACCATATTTCAGCTCAAAACCTTAGGTGGACTATGATCTACGCAGACTCTTGATAGCCGTCTTGTAGAGCTAGCTTTGCCCTATCAAATGGTTACTCAAGCCGCATAAAATGAAGGATAGATACAAAAAGACGACCGTCGATGTAAAAACGGTAAATGATTATGGGACAACCTAATAATAAACAAAGCCTCGAAGACTCCTGTCTTTCCCGCATTATCTATCGCCATCATTGTAGTAAAAATAAATCTTTCTAAGGAATTACGTTAATTTGCATGATCTGAAATTCGACAAGAGTAATTCTAAATCCGAAAGCATGAGCTTCTCACTACTCTTGCAAAAAGGGGAAAAGGTCAAAAGGCACAATTTCTGAGAGCTCACATTGTAAGAGCTATGCGATTTTTTCAACATTACCAGACAGCGCTCTAGCTTACTGCCTTTCTGAAGTCAGCTTGCTAAGTTTGACTATTTTTGGTGGAAAGTTGATCGCCATATGCAGGAAATTGGCTTTAGTTGCACTTTCACGGGCACTTCCAACACTTATTTCAGGTCTTTTTCAAGATATAAAGTTGAACATCTCCGGCAACGACCTTGCTACTTCCTCAATAATTTGAAAGACCTTTAGGACGTTATCAAATAATAAAAATGCGCTAGTTGATATCAACTTGGCAATGAAGATTCGCTATTGATTTACAGCTGGAGTACAAATACCCAAAGCTACTTTGACGTAGTTTGATTTAGTGATACCGTCAAAGGAGCACTGATTAGTGGCAATGGCAACGTAGAAACCGTGAGATCCACTGCCGTAAGTTTACCTATTCTTTCGAGTTGTGAATAAGCAATGCACATGTTGAGGCTAAACAGAAGCCCCAGACCAAGGAGAAACTGAAAACTCCCCAAAACTTCAAGGAAATCCTGTGTGCAGAAAAGAGGAAGGAAGGGTACGTCAAGGAGATAATTAACAGACAAGAAAAACCAAGACTGGAAAGCAATGAAGCTGAACGTCGAAAACAGGACGAACAACGTAGTCCCATCAAGGTAAGCGATTGGCCGCATATCGTATAGTTTTCAAGGTCGCAAGCACACATTTGATCGGTTGCTGTTTGCAAACTTTGACGGCACCGGCATAGTAGAGTATGTGAAGCCATTATTTTTTCTTCTGTATTAAACAAGGTCAGCTCATCCATCGTCAGCATTTCACAATTTTACACTCTCTTTGAGTTTGATCAAAACAGGTTTCTTAGAATTACTGAATTTTCATTTGACTTTTATCACCCTTATTGGAAAGAAAAAATTCAGTCAATGTGACTATCAGAAGCGCAGCCCAACATGAAGGTACGGAAATACTGGAGTCAAGTAAACTTTGCTTCTGAGAATAAAATAGTGAACATTTTTCATACCCAACTCCGCAGGCTCTCACTAGCTTTATCAAACCAGTATATGGCTAACATGCTACCGTATTCATTTACAAGCACGAGAGACTCAGGGGCAGTGTCCATAGTTTGGATTTCGGAAGTTTCGCATATAACAACCCTTTTTAAACCCGTCTTACCCCAGGCAATACGCATAAAATTCGCAAAAACTTCACCTTCTGAACACACGCGAGGAACATAGATGAGATGTGCTCTCCTACTCTAGTCTGCACCGCTTTCAACTCATGTCCAAATATGTAAAGAGGGAACGGCGAGTCGGCCAACGCAAGCCAAACGCTGTCTGCGGGCTACTTTGAGTGCAGATTTCTTGAGGTAAAATAGGCCGAAATGAGTCCCACCTGAGCACTATGAAGCACTTCAACGATATATGTAAAAACCCGCACTACTTCAATTTTGGTGAGGCATTGCCTTCAAAGCAGCGGAACAATCAATCGCATACGCAGCACATACGCGATGGTACGACACCAAAACTGCGAGCATCAAATATTCCCCACAACAACATTATGGGAAACCTTTAAAATCATGTAAGACCCGTCACTTCTTTGGATCAAATGGTTTTAGGCATGACACTGAAAGTTACACAACTTCTAAACTTTTTCTAAACTTTTTTGTTATAGAATATTTCGCTATCAGAATTTCAACTTTCAGTATGGAAACCATCTAAAGCACTTTTGTTCTTTCTGTGAAGGTAAATAGCAAAGGAAGTTCAGAACTAGGAAAAAGAGGTCTACCTCGATTTCTCGTGCTCTTAGCTATCAGATCGTATATAAACTATTTTTCATATTTTCCGGCTTCAAAAAAGTCTTGCTCCGGCGACCCATGAAAGTCGAGTCATTGAGGAGGTGGGGTGAAACAGGCTAATAGTAGATATCTCCACCCCATTTCCAAACAGCCACAAATTTTTTCACCTAACAATCTATTAGGTTGTGACAGAATTAATGCAGGTTTTGAATTCCAACCGCAATAATTCATACGCTTCTCATTTATAAGTAGGTTGCAAAACACCATTCGGTAGAGCAAAGCAATCTCCACAAGGTGGCAATCTTGCATTAGCAACTACTCTGATCCACCACGAATTTCGAGCCAAAAACTAAAAAGATTCAATTGTCCGAAAAATTGAGAAAAATCGTAACTCAATTCATAAAAAATCTACAAAAGTTTTAACTTGCTCACTTAAACACTACTCATATAAGACATCTATATACGCCTTTGCCGTATTTTTTTCTCTGTTAGAAATCAAGAAAACGCAAATTTTCGTGCGTTTGCCAAAGTGATGCTGTGCCGTTCCCACATAAATATTTGTATACTACAAACCTGTAGAAGTATAAACATGAATTCCCAGCTCTCCACAAACTTTAGTTTTCGAGAAATTTGAATTTTAGCTTGTACCACCTAACTAGGGAAAGCTATATTTGGTATTTTTCGAAAACTAAAGCTTGTAGAGAGCTGAAAATTTACGTCTGCACTTCTACAGATTTCTAGTGTACAACTAGTTATGTGGAAACGGCACAGCAACACTTTGGCAAATGCACGAAAATTTCCGTTTACTTGATTTCTAACAGAGAAAAAAATACGGCAAAGGCGTATATAGATGTTTTATGTGGATAGTGTTTGCGTGAGCAAGTAAGATTTTTTGTAGAATGTTCATAAACTGAGTTACGATTTTTTTCGATTTTTCGGGCTGCTGAGTCTCTTTAGTTTTTGGCTCAGAACTCGAGGTGGATGAGAGCTGTTGCAAAACAAGATTGGCAACTTGTAGAGCTTGCTTTGTTCTATCGAATGATATCTTGCAACCTACTTAGAAACGAGAAGTGTATGACTTATTGTGGTTGGAATTCAAAATGTGCATTAATTCTGTTACAACCTAATATACAGGGTGTCCCAAAAGTAAGTACACACTTTTCAATCGTTAATATCTCTCTTCCCAATGTGTCTTTTTCCGCCATTTAAGTACTATTCTATAGAGAAGGCTTCAACTTAAATTTGCAGTGTGGAGCGAATCACCGATCTCTCTTCGTTACTGTAGGATTACTGTAGGAACTTCGACAAGGATTTTAGGCTACTGGAAGCCATATTCTGCCTGGGAACTAAACCAAACAAGCCAAAAACTCGTATACTATGGTAATGGAAGACGCTGATTTCGAATATGAAATTTCCATTCTACTGTGATGCTTCTTTCCAAAGTTACCCCAGGTAAAGCGTAATAACCGAATTCCCAGTATTTGTTAGAAAGGTGATTACACCGTCAAAAAATCTGAAAATACTCATAAGAAGTTGTGTAGTGGAATCAGCGTAAGCGGAAACCCTAGTTACACGATTTTTCAGATTTTTTGAAAAAAAATTTGTCAGATGGCATATTTCACAGTGGTTCCACTTGCTGGAAGTTCTTACCGTAATGCTACAGTAGCGAAAAGCGATCAGTGATTCGCTCGATACTGTAACTCTAAGTTGAAACCTCCTCTACAGAATGGTACTTGAATGGCCAAAAAAGACTCATTGGGAAGAGATATTGACGATTGAAAAGTGTGTACTTACTTTTGGGACACCCTGTATACCGTTGAAAAGCAACGAAATGGAGATTCGAGGTAAGTCATCTCTTTCTTCCTAGCCCCCCCCCTCTACTCGGAAATACATGACATTTAAGCTAAAACATGGGTGTTTCTGTGAGGAAGTTTCTACGGAAAGAATGAGTGAAGACGCCTGACTGTCTATGTTACAGAGCAAGACTTTGCCAGTACATGTAGACCGTCCATTTTTTCTAGCTTTCCTCTTCCTTTCAGAAATGGAGCGCAAAGTGATCGCACAAAATCAGCTAATGCTGCAGCTAAATGAATTTTTGTGTATGATTTCACAACAGGAGAACATGGAAGAAAGAGGCGGTTTACGTCGATTCTACATGCTTCGAGCTTTCGGATGGTATATCGATTGATGAGACATAAAGCTTTCCTAAATCAAAAATGTTTCTATTCAATGACCTTTCAAAACCAACGCAATGAAAATCCTTCATGTTACATCTCTAGGCTTTGGCCATACTTTGCCCGTGTTGCCAATGTTTCCAGTGTTACTCGTGTTACCGGTGTTGCCGATGTTACCAGTGTTACTCGTGTTGCCGATGTTTCCAGTGTTACTCGTGTTACTCGTGTTGCCGATATTACCAATGTTACCGAGAAAATGAAACTGTACTGGCGATCATTTTGAGAATCAACAGCAATGAAGGCGGTAACACTAGAAACACGAGTAACACTGGAAACATCGGCAACACAAGTGACACTGGTAACATCGGCAACACCGGTAACACCAGTAACACTGGAAACATCGGCAACACGGGCAAAGTATGGCCAAAGCCTAAAACCACTTATTCTCCTTGTTTGCACACCTCAGTTTCACCCAGGTATAAGCTTAGGTCAGCATTCACTTCGAGGCTCAGTTACCCCCTTCACTTTTTTAGGTGGCAAATAGCCAAAACCCTCCTTAATCTGGAGGGGATCCTGCCCCTTTTCCCACCTTTGCTGCTCAGAGTTCATAATTGGTCAATTACTGACCTAACATTCTAATAAAGTTGAAAATTATCGAGCACGTAAACGACCTCATATATTTTTGGCTGAAAAAGAATAATCTGTTCTGACATCTACCAAAATTAGATCTAGTGAATTCTCTATTTCAAGAAATCTGTAATTTCCAAGTGTCCCATAACTTTCCGACCGCTTTGATATTACGATGTAATGGCTCCACATTATGGACATCAAACTATGGAGTGATATTTCCAGTATCTTCGGCTACAAGAAAAATAGCAAACATTAAAAATTCCAATTTTCTCGTTTCGCAAAAGTATTAGTTGATGAATCATTTTCTCAGTGCATAGGGAAGCCATGGCTCGAAAAGGTAAATTTTGTAGAGGATTACTGAAGCATTAAGTGGATTGAATTTCAAAATTTCAAATCAAAATTTTTGTAGATTTCAACTGCAAAGTTGTGTTTTGACGCCCCCTTTGACCTTACGAGAGCTTGAAAGCATACATCGTTTTGATCCAGGTAATAACGAAAGTTTGAAACAATTTTTTAGTCATGTTTTTTGTGTAATTACTTGAACGCACGTCCAATGTAAATGATCAAATGTACGTCATAAAATGGCGTACAATTTGCTTAATTAGGAGGAATCGTAGAGCGCTCCGAAACTCACATTGCAAATGTTCTACAGCAGCGTCAGTGTCTCTTTGCTGAACATTACTCATGAAAGAATTCAAACCAACGAGGAAATGGTTGTCATGTGAGGAGAACAGACATTAGGACTTCGTAAAACTGCGTCAAATTTGAGTGCTATCTTGTATGATCTTCATCATGTCCTTAAGTATTAGGTTGATGCAAAAATGATAGACGTTTTGCGAGGTCTCACTTTCACATCCTAGGACTATCTAACAAATCCATAGTTTCAATGCGATAAAAACCACCAGAGGCAGCAAATCTTTCGCAATACGGCGGTGTGGTATTATACTACAAAGCACTCGCCGCCAGAGTCGGCACGCGTGCCGAACTGGCTCACGGTATTCCGCACCCATTTCGCACTGGTGCGCGTGCAGCCTCGTCCAACTCCGCGGCGATGTCGCACTGCGATGCCGCGTTTAAAAATGTACCTAAATACGCTCAGAAATTGCTGTTTCAGATTTAACGTGCCAGTTCATGTTCGTCGCATCGCGATAACGTGTGAAAATGAAAAAAAACTTGTTCATTTTCTTCTATCTGGTACAATGTTCCCTTTTATTCCGGGTACGGACAGAGGACTATTGAAATGAAATTCTCTTACAAGGGAAGGATGGTAGGTCGAAGTGGTCTTTCGAGGTTGTACACCATGGTGGAAGGCGTAAAACGCTGATTCCAAATCTGTCTTCCTTATCTGCGGCGGGTTCCTGGACGAGGAGTTATGGGCATTTGAAGGAGCAAGAAATGACTGTTTTCGAGATAAAAACGGTTGCTAAGATTTTCCCAGCGCTTGAATGAGACAGCCGGAGTGCGGATATATCTCACATAAGAGTATCATGACTTATAATAACGGGCTGGATGTTTAGTGACTTTGTCTGTGTGTGTGTCGGTTACAAAATTCGTGGAGCGTGTTCCAGCCTGCGTTTTAAGCCCAAATTTTGTATAGCGCATGCTACCTTCATGAAAGTCCAACATGCAAAAGCACGAGTAGATTCGTTGAGTGGATCCCTCAGAAATTGCGCGCCAAACGGGTCCACCTGGCTTCTGTACTGCAAAATTCGGTCCGTATCACCACTTCTTGCGGAGTCGTGGATGAGTTTGGTAAGCAAATGTGCAAGCGATGGAGTTTAGCCAGAAAAGTGGTCGAAAGTTTACTACATAACGAAAACGGCGCCAAAACGAATTGGTTGTGTAAATGGTCAATTTGCCAAGCTTCTCTCTAAGCGTTTGAGAAGATTTTCGCACAGAGATGTAGCTCACGGTTATCATTACCTTTATGGCGACTACCAAATCATGACAAATCCAAAAACCTATTCAAATTTGCGTTTGTCTTCCTGCGAAAAGTTTTATCCACGCGAAATCACCGATCTTACGTGAGAAGACTTTCTAAATGAGTGGTTGTTTACATTTTTTCGTGGTAATCGGCATAGCGCGGTGAGTTCCAGTGCCACGATTCTACGAGAATGAGTAAGGCACATAGATAGTAGAGCCAGTGCGAACCTCTGCGAAGCAAAGGTGACGCACTGGTTATAAACGCGCTAAGGCCGTCTGTTTTTTCGTCTGTGTGTGTCTGTGTGAAAATCTGTCTGTCACGAAATTCATAGAGGAAGCTGCAACTAAGCTATCGGGCTGCAATTTTGCATGACATACCGTGCCAGCGTGTAGGCCCACCATGCACAAGGACGAGCCGGATCGATAAGCGGGTCCCTCAAAATTTGCGCGTCAAATGGGTCCACGCGCCTTTTGGCACGCAAAAGTGGGTCGCTAAATCGTCTTTTTGCAAAGTTATGATTTGCCTAACAAGTAACTCTGCGCGCCATGAATTCTGGCCCAAAAAGTGCTCAAAAAGTTTGCCTTTCTGCGAAAACAGCGCCAAAAATTGATGAGCTCGTAGATAGTCGCTTTGGCAAGGTTTTATTTGAAAAAACTGGAAAGTTTGCACCGAAATGTAGCAATAGGTGACTATTATTCTCATGACAATCATCAAACTAGAATAAATTCAGTACTCCTTTCAAATTCGCATTTGTTTCCTTGCAACAAAGTTTTTTTTCCTAAAAATTACCGATCTTACATGGAGATGCTTCATGAATGAACAGTTGTTTACGATTAATTTGTGATGCTCAGCATCGCGTGGTGAGTTTCAAAGCCATTCTCATGCGAACATGAGAAAGGCATACGGATAGGGAGCCAGTGCGAACCTTCGCAAAGCGGAGGTGACGCACTGGTTTATTTTATAGAGTGCTGGAAAGATTACCATTGGTCCATTTAAGCGCTAGGAATAATGTCACTACTGTTTTTATATTAATTACACATTCAATTTTTTTTTCAATAAACGCTCATAACTTCTCGTGCAGATATTGAAGACAGATTTGCAATCAACTTTTATGCCCTCCAATACGGTATAAAAATCACCGCAAAAGGCCACTTTGACTGACCATCCTTCCCTTGTTAGACCAAAGCTCAACGAGACGCCTAGTCACGTCACGTAAATGAATAAAGTCTTCAGTAGTCAAAATGATTGCTCCATAAATGTTTTGGCATCAGGGAAGTCTTCCCACCGTAAAAACTATATCATGGTAAAAACAAAAGTGAAACAAAATAAGAAAAAAGAAATTGAAAAAATTGAAGGAGTTTTCATTCAGGCGAATTCTTTGTTTTTATTTGAAAGACCGACATGAACAAAATGAAAAAGAGAGGAAAATGAACAACTTTTTTTTTCAATCTTACACTTTATCGCTGAGCGACGGACGATGCTACACGTCGAAATCTGAAAGAGCGATTTTTTCTGGTGTTTTCATGTAAAATTTTGTAAAAGTAGCGACGTCGCGTTCATCGCGACGCGACGAATATCGCACACATACAACAGACACCCACATACGCTCTTATCACGAACGGGCAGAAGAATGGATTGATGGACAAAAAGTTTTTTTGGAACCTCGTCTTCAATAAATCATAACTCCCCTCATAGTTGGTTATTATAAAAGTTAAGTAGCCTATCTTATAGCCGCAAACCAGTAGTGCAAAATAAGATAGAAAGGGCTCGGACAAAGAAGACTCGCGAAAAGAACAATATTGGAATCCAATTAGCTTTTCAACATTTTTCCTTAGGCCTCAAATTTCCGCATGACGACTTTTTTGTGTTTCTGCTTCTGAACAGCTGAACGATTTTGCAAAAACTGTCAACAGGAGGCTTACTCAAAGCTTTCAAGATTGCCTTTTCCGGAAGAAATTTATGGACCATAGAATGACTAAAAACACTACCCATGTTAAGGCGCAGATAACTCACTCTAAATAATTTCAAGAAAGTAGTGAAGTGTGCATAATGTAGACGATCTTTATTACATACATCACAAATTTCCAAAAGAATAACATAATTTGCGCTGGATCCCTGGCCAGAAAAGTAATGCAACGAGATTCTGGTTTTGGGTGTCTTTGATTGAAGCTCTGTAAACTCCATGAGAAGCTACTTAATACTAAGTTTCTCCAAAAAAAAGTCTGATGAAAAAATTGTTTTGGAACAGAATGCTATGGCGAACTTCATGAAAATTTGTAAGGTTACAAGACAGTTCGTTCAAAGATTTTCGAAGTCAACCGGTGTCAGGTTCTTCAGCATGCTTAAAAATCTGCCTAACAGTTTACATATACCCAAAATCTTGGCGATATGACGCAAACTTAGGAGTTGAGGCTGCTTAATTCTTCAAAGTCTCTCTTGGAGAATTGGAAAGGCAGCAACAGGGAGGAGCGCGAATGACGTGGACTCTTACTTATATTGTCTTTCTTCATCCCCGCTTGTTGTTCAGCAAAATGAGAAATTCTTGTTTAAAAAGTCAGGGTGCATTATCGCTTCTGGGAGCGCAGTGTCTTGGCAGATTTTCGTCCTCCAGTTTTTTGCCCCTTCGGAGCCTTCTAGTCATGAAGAAGCTATGTCTGGGCTCTTCAGCGCATGAAAATGGCGGAATTGAGATTTTTCCGAAGCTTTCCAGCTCCGCATTCAGTGATGGTATGCCGGAAGTCCTCCACGCCCAGCTTCTCCCTCCTTCCGGGCCCGCCCACTTATGCGTATTCTCCATCGAATGCGGACCTGAAAAGCTTTGGACCTTATTTATATGCTTAAGGAAGGACGGGAGTTGGCACAAGAAAAGAGAACGTCCAAAAGAGGAGAGAGCGGATGCAAGCAGCAAAGTTTCTCTCAACTGGTCGCTACGGCGGGGTATGTTTATTGTCTTTATCTATGAAGATGATCAAACTTGATGATGCAATGCATCTTCAGGAGATTTATCACCAACAGAGGTATCAATAAAGGTGTCAGTGAAAAGGCAGCGAAAATAGCCAAAGTACAGCAGACGGATGAGAAGAAAGTAGGCTAAGAGTCTTGATTCATAGTCGTTGCATGGTAATTTGATTCAGATAAACCCTCGCAATGTCGAGAAAAAAGTCCCACTTACATACAAGCTGACAGATGTTCATTCTACAAAAACCGCAAATCTGCCAGAGCGAACGGCAAGCTCGAAGCAAAAAACCTCCCTGCTGAAGAATCCAACTAAGGTCAAGTTCTGAGGTGAGTTATGTTAATAAATCATTCAGAGCTCACAATTCAAACATAGAGGCCGGGATACCACCGCGGCTCTATTGAAACCTATATCGAAAGATGAAAGTTCAGTAGTTTCCTATAAAAAGGTACTGAGAGGCGCAGGTGTTGCCGGCAACTTCGCGAGCTAGCATGCCTGCATCACGTCGAAATATTAGGCTAGGTTCATATCGATTCGTATGTTCCGATGCAGGTGTGGCACAGCGCTCAAATTATGCGCTGTGCTGTGCGGAACTTACGGATCAGTATGAACCCAGTTTTAGGGCTAGTGGTCAGGAGTCATACCGCGGCGCGGCTGCCGCTCGCCGCGCTCAAATTTTGTGCCTCACGAAACTCTCCGGTGCTAAAGTGGCACGACGCCACAAAGGGGGAAGGGCAGATACATGACTCGATGCCATAGGTACACTGCGACAGGAGTACTTACTGAAGCTGAGTTTTGTGCTGCTTGATGTCCGGTTGCGGCGTTGCTTCGCTAAACCTAACCAAAGGCTGACGCGTAGCTGCCGGCAGACAGCACGAGAAAGCGCACTGTTCTAAGAGGCAAAGGTGCCAGCAGCTCGACATGCCTTACCACGTCAAGGCGCAGGCACTTTGCTGGCGGCGTCTGTGAGTTTGCGTAGTGCAGCAATATCACACAGTTTGCGTCAAGCACGAGAATCAATAATTCACTTTCCATTAAAAAGCTGTCAGTTTTGTCATTATTATCAATCACTCAGACACTGGGACCGGGCGAGCCGCGGCCTCAAAAGGCCTTTCCGGCCCATCCGCGGCCTTAATTTGTGGGCGTGGCCGGAGTGCGGCCGAGCCGCGGACCTTAATTCATGTCAGTATCATTGCACCGGTCGAGCCGCGAACTGAATATGGCTTACCGGCTCAGCCGCGGCCTTGATAATGGGGGTGGAGCATTGCAGCGGCTGAGCCGCGGACGAAAATCTTTATAATGAGACTCCGGCCGAGCCGGATAAGGTCTGCGGCTCGGCCGCTCCCAGTAACTGAGCGTTAAGAATAAATGCGTGATGTACGACGCATGGTCAGGCTGCCCTCAGTGTCCATAGCCTTCGATGTTTTTCCAGTCTACAAGGCGGAAACAAGATCAACATAGTGTACAACCTTGGATAGCACCTTGTGTTTTCCAATGTTGAAGTTGGACTTGGTTTCCGAAGCCGCTATATCGGTGGCTTCAATTTTTGTTTTTTTACACTGTGTATATTCTATGTACCAGTGAATAAAAAAACATTTCTATTGTATCCGCGCTAGAATGAACTAGGGGCCCGACAACCAGCTCCGGCTGAGCCGAGGCCCAAAAGCGGACGAGCCGAGGCCGTTCTCCGGCCGAGCCGCGGCCCATTTACCGGCTGGCCCGCGGACGCTGCGAAATTTCAGCCGGAAATGGGCCGCGGCTCGTCCGCTCCCAGTGTCTGAGCAGGTGCTCTTCGTCTATTACGCAATGTGTTGTTCATGTCATCATACAGGCGCCCCACTTACCAACGCGTGTCTGTCATTGCTGCCGCAAACAACAAAAATCGATAGTGTGGTCGAACGGTAGTGCGGTCGCCCTTGAAGTTCAAGCATCAGGCTAGAACGTTCACAGTTTCATGTGCAAAGTGATTGCATGCTAAGGCACACGCCATACTTAATCGCTTGATCGTCTTGATCCGCTTGATCCTCTTTGTGAAAAACGCGCGTTTACTGATTTGTCATTTGCCGTCGCGTAGGTAAAAATTTTCTGTAAGTTATGCAAAATCGCTGCACGCGACGCCAAATGACAAATAAGTAAGGATGCGTTTTTCACGAAGAGGATCAAGCGGATCAAGCGGATCAAGTGGGTGTTAAGCATATTGAGCGGATCAAGTATGATGTGTGCCTAAGTTTATATGAGGTTATCAGGACCTACGATCCATCCGCAAGTTCACGTCGGGGCTGGCAACTTTCTGATTGCGGGGCCTTGCCCAAAGAATGAGTCGCTTGGCTGGGAGCCTTTGACTCGCCCGGTGCGCCTGAGTTTCCGCTATATGTGCCAATTTGCCGGCATTTATGATGCCACCAGGTGCCACCAGGGGTAGATAACTACCGGCCAGTACGGCAAAATTATATGCTTTCATGATTGACAAATGCGAACTGTCACGTTTTCTTCATTTTACATAACCTCCTGTACGACTACAAGGTTAGGTCAGAACTTGTTTTGCATGCGCTAGCGTTTTTATAGTTCCTGTAATATCATTAGCTGTCGAACAAACATTTCTATCATATCGCTGAAACATTAGATGCAGGTTGATTATTTACGCCTTTAGATCATTCTATTGCATTTTTTCACTCGGTTGAGGAGGATATGTCAACCAAGTCTGCCTCGGGGACGAGACGTTTTTGAGCATTCGTAAGTACGTTGAATGTGTATGAACGTGTCTATTCGTGATAAATAAGCTACTGCCGGCCGAAGGCGCAAAGCTGGAGCTCGAAAGCGATTCTATTAGCCTTGGAGCGCGCAGGGTCAACAGCGGTGAAAATACGCGCCGCGCTTGCCCCATTCAACTACTGCTACTTTCGCGGCTCTATCGGCAACAACCTTTATAGAGGTTGATGCAAAAGTAATGCACGTTATTTATAAATCAACATTAATTTAACATAAATCCTTTTCAGAACGATTTTTCTGAGCGCGAAAACGGCTACTGCTAACAGCAAAGCTTTGGCTAAACAACAATTGCTTTGTAGATTAGAGCCGTTTAAAAATTCGAAAATCCCCAGAAATTATTAGGCACACCCTTTACCAGGCACTTTTTTGAACGAATCTCAGACATGCTATATGGTTTCTGAGAACGAAGGGCGAGGCGGCTTCCACGGTCACTATTTCCTTGTACCAGCTATTCATCTATTCATCAAAATTCATAATTTTTTTTAATGTCGAAAACCCGTAAGTGTCCAGAAATCACTAGGCGCATCCTTTCACTGGGTACTTCTATGAACGGACTCCAGGCAAACTATTTATTCCCTGGAACCAGGGGGAACGTTGTACCACGGAACTTTCCTCACTGACGTTGCTGTGCAGCTACAGAAGCTACTATTTTTTTCCTCCTGAAAGTTCGTGAATGCCTACAAATCTTCTTCCCCCTTTCCGATACACAAACAATTCCCGTAGAGTCCATGTTCGGCTATCCTTGAACCTTGGCATGGCTTGTCACTTGATGGATGTGTGATTGAGCGGTCGACCAAGATGGTAACACTATTTACTATGGTACAATGGCCTACGTTTCGGCGCTGTCGCCTTCGTCAGAGCCTGGAAGTCGAAGTCATCAGCATCTATTCCCTCAGACATCAACAGAAGACTCAAAGTACTATTCGAGAAAAGCCAATGAAAACCTAGTCAGAGAAACAAGAGCAGCACTAACCTTAGCCAGAAGCAAAAACGGAAGTCGGAAGACCGCCGTGTATGCAAGACTATGCCTCCGCTCTACTTATATATGCCGTTCTGACCTGACCTCATATTCAAATCCGCATAGGGATTGATATGGCGCCAGTTCTTTAGTGATAGCGATACACTCCTCCTTTCTATTCATTTTTGAATTTTTGGCGGTTATCCAAAACGCTTCCAATGTTTTGCGCGCGAGGATCTCGGGCTCGAACGAACGACAAGATTTGCACTGCAACTTGTATTCCAGCTTTGGAAAACATTGGAAGCGGCGCAAAACATTGGAAGCGTTTTGGATAACCGCCAAAAATCCAAAAATGAATAGAAAGGAGGAGTGTATCGCTATCACTAAAGAACTGGCGCCATATCAATCCCTATGCGGATTTGAATATGAGGTCAGGTCAGAACGGCATATATAAGTAGAGCGGAGGCATAGTCTTGCATACACGGCGGTCTTCCGACTTCCGTTTTTGCTTCTGGCTAAGGTTAGTGCTGCTCTTGTTTCTCTGACTAGGTTTTCATTGGCTTTTCTCGAATAGTACTTTGAGTCTTCTGTTGATGTCTGAGGGAATAGATGCTGATGACTTCGACTTCCAGGCTCTGACGAAGGCGACAGCGCCGAAACGTAGGCCATTGTACCATAGTAAATAGTGTTACCATCTTGGTCGACCGCTCAATCACACATCCATCAAATTCCCGTATAAATACGTCCTTAACCTTACCACACTGTTGTTTTCTCGGCTTTTGGTGAAGGGGATTACCTTGGTCTCGGTTTAGGGGGAAGGGGGGGGGGAGAGGAGGGGTGAGCAAATTCTCACACTATCCGCCTATGGTAAAGCTCTTCTGGAAGAGAAGTTATGGGGATTTTTTTAAGAAAATCTCTAAACTCGCGGCTACAATAAAATTATTCAAAATCGTAGTCTATGAGCTCAAATAGGGCCACGATTACTGCCAAGACGCTTTATGCAATAAATATCTTCAGTCTAATGATGTCTTGCTAATCATTACTCCTTTCAAGCTCCCGAAGATTTCAACACCTTTTACCTTAGCCAAACCCTCAAACTTATACTTTAAAAAATTCTCATAACTTTCCTCTAGAAGCGCTTTGCAGGTGCCAAAAACAGATCTGGAATCAGCGTATCATATCTTTCAAAAATTATCCATTTTATATAGGTTTGACGGAGTATCTTTTCCTTGTTAGTTGGTCAAATCACTTGGTATCGTCATATATGTCACTGCACACACTATCCATCTTGGCGCTCCCATCCTGGATCCTTGAAGCAGACAACACTCCAGGTTAGCGTTGTCAAAAGTCATAGGTGTCTATTACCCAGACGTCGAATGCCAGGAATAAAAGAAACCCGATGAGATTAGTTAAAAACACTAACGGTTTGCTCTCTTATTAAGTACTAATTCACCTCGTTGATGTAAGCGATAACAAGCGGTTCTTCTCTTGCATTCTTGCAAATCTAGGATGAGGACGCCAAAAATGGACGGTTGCCATACACACATAATCACATGAAGTGATTTGACTGTATGATACAGTAAAGCTTGCTTTTCTCATCCAACAGTGTGCAGCCCCTTATACTTTCACTGAATGAACCGACATTCTTCGGGTAGAAACCCAATTCAAAACTCACTATCTGCAGAATACACAATGATGGGTAAACTGGAAAGGTCTAGAAATTACTTCTAAAGCAATTTTTTGCAATGAGGCAAGACTTTGGCAATTACCTAGTCGGGCTCATTAGTGTCCCGCATTGTTTCTCCTTCATTTGAATGGAGGAGGTTTCAACATGAAAAATTGGGCAGATCGAAACGCGATCATTAGCACGTTATCCGCTGATAAACCCTCAATTCTATGGCTTGGATGCATGAATAATCACTCGCTAGTGAACGATCGTTCATGCAAAGTTTGGTAGTGAGTGGTCCATCACTGCTATATGTACTTGATTAATATGGCTTGGGCTTCGGGCAAAGTCCACGCGATTTTCTCGTCGCGATCGTTCGCGACAAGACATTTGTAACAATACCATTGCATGCCGATCTTCTTTCGGCTGTGACAGTTTACCGTCACGACTAATCATGACTAACTATCACCACCGAAATACAAGAAGATCGGCATGCAATGAGCTCGTAACACTCGTCTCGTAGCGATGAATCGCGACGATCAAATCACATGAACTCTGCCCGAGGCCTTGGACGTACACTGACGGAGCCTCCAAAAAATGGCTATCGTTGTTGTAACAGTGATTGAAGGTTCCTTTTCATTAGATCAAATTCATTATCTAAAGTGTGCATATTTTCAGTTGACGAGCTCGAGCTCTATTTGGTTGAACCTCCTCTTCACCCACCAAGTTTAAACGACGAAGAAATTGGATGTTATTTAATGGCATTACATTACGTTACTATATAAGGAGCTGGGCTTCTAGAGCATGCAAGTCTTGAGTTGTTGTGTGCACCTGTTCAGCTCTTATCTCCTACGTTTTTTCTTCTATGGATGGTTGTTGCAACATTTTTCACAGAAATTAAAGTCTTTGTAGCATTGATTACTCCTTCGTCGCCAATTAGCGACTTCTGGAGGAGTGATGAAATCGAGCAATGAAACAAAGCAATACCCAGATTAGGTTCCAGTTCTCTTATCGTTGTACATTTCAGTTATTTATTCTCTCATGTGTGTGAAAATGGTTTGAACCAAATAAATGAATGTACTTAGTAAGCGCACTTTTTATAGCCTTTCACTATGATCTCTCGGGTAACCTAAATGTCGGTTATGCACAAGACAGTTTCGAAAAAAGTTGCTTTGGCTCACAAATGCTGATTTGCTCACAAATGCTTTGATTACTTGGCGCCTTCACCCCTTTTTAGAACACTTCACTGCATTGGTTTTACTTCACTGGATTGGTCTTAACGCTGTAGATGTGGGTGTTATTTGCGATCAACTCAGACAGTGGGAACGGATGAGCCGCGGCTCAGTTCAGGCAGGGCATTCGCACCTCCCGCGGGCCGGTCGTGAATGGACAATCGGTTCGGCCGCGATAACTCGTGTGGGATCGGCTTTTCAAGTCTTTTGGCAAGGCCTGGTACAGATGTGATCTCCATTTAGATTGCTTTCATTTCAATTAACAACATAAAAATTCCTTTTTCTCGTTTCATCGCTGTTTCTTAGGCTTCTATAGTAGCTAAATTGAGAAAACAAGTCTTTGAATGTCTTTCAGCTGAAAGTTGCAAGGACGGAATTCAACCTTAGGCCGACAAGTTTTTAACGGCGATTGCAGCGCCATATTCTCTCATTTCGTGGGAGGGTTACTGTAGGTCTGAATGAAGAGGGCAAAAAGAAAAGAAATCGCTAAAATGCTATCAATGAAAAGATAGTTACTATTTCTTAAGCTTCTTCTGTAAGTTTAGAACAAATTTACTCCACAGTGTCTCATATTGACAACAATTAAATCATGACATTCCTGTCTAGCAGGTCAAATGATCTTATGATGCAAAGTTCCGGCAAGTTCTGTAAAAAAGCAGATTTTTAGTCATTGACGTATATTTAGCAGCACAGTTGTGTACAGCTACCCGCAACCAGGGCTCGGCACAGGCAGGTGGTATATAAGCAAGCTGTATGTCGTTTTTGGCACAAAAAGCAAAGGGGGTTTCGTTTTTGTGGCCGAAAAGACACAAAAATTGCGACTTTTTTCTGGTTGACATAGATTTTTAGGGATTATGTTCTAGCGTCAAGGGCACTTCGTAAAAATTCGCAAAAGTCGAGTGGGACCTTGTTTTTTGCATTTTCAACTAGCCATCTCGTGCCGAGCTTTGCTCGCAACTTCTAAAAGGCACCGAAGTTCAATTTGTTTTTTTTACTTCCATTACGTCTTTATAGAGCTTAATGAGTCAAATGTTTTGCGAATAATGTCATGTTTACATCACTGATTATTATCCGCTAAATTTTGTTCTTTTGAGCTTCTCACAACTTGGGGCCGCATGCACTAACAGCCCCGCGGGGAGGGGATCGCAGCTTCAAAGAAAGCTTCATATCCTGAAGCTCCAGATATCTAGATTTCACGTTGTGTACGTAACCGTAAGTGTTCCTACTATGCTTCACTATGAACACATTAAACAGGAGCGAGAAGCTGTACAAGCTGCAGTTTTCAGCATTTGTATGATCCCTGATGATCCCCGGCGCTTTTCTTTGAAGTCATTTTTCTTTCTCCAAAGTTAACGAAAAGTTTCCAAAGTTGTGCAGATTATCTAATCCAACACTGCTTAGTATGTTGGTGATAATAAGAAGTGATGTATATGAGTCATGAAATTTGCGATGAACCACAAGTCGAAAGTTGTGGTTTACCGATAAATTCGATTTTCCAAAAACTGATTTGTTCTCATCAATAACATGTTTAGCACTGTTGTGTTAGATAATTAGTACAACTTTGGAAGGTTTTCGTTGACTTCAAAGAAAAAAAAATGACTTTGAAGAAAAGCGCAGGGGATCGTCAGGGATCATGCAAGAGCTGGAAAATGCAGCTTGCACAGTCTCGCTGCTGTTCAATATGTTCATAGTGAAGGATAGTAGGAATACTTGCGGACAGATAGACAGCGTGAAATCTAGATATCTGAAGCTTCAGAATATGAAGCTTTCTTCTGAGCTGCGCTACCCTCCCAAGCGGGGTTGTTAGCGCATGCGGCCCTTGGTCTTTACTGCACATACGTTATGCTTTCCATTTATATATAATTTTAGTTTCAAATAGAGTTGTGTTTTGAAGCTTTTGAAAGTCGAGTAAGATGAAGAGAAAAGATGCCGGGCTTGATCAAGCTTCGACAACTACGTGTTTGATTGACTCAATCTGTATGATACAGCTACTGAGACTTCGTTTTTGGTTGTTAGCGAAACGTTGAACGTGTAGTTAGAACAGCACTGATTGTTCCCCAGATAAACCTTGGTATATCTAAAAGATGGGATCATTACTAAGCTTGGTTTTCAATTAGCCCATTTAGGTGTTCTATGAAGATTTCCTGATATTTCTTGGAGTGCCCGTCCTTTTCTCAAGGAGAAAATGTGAGGTTCGTACAACGAAAGCTTCATACCAACTTTAGCTTTTGTATCTCCCATCCGTTTCGCTAATGCGAAAAATGGGTCTCATCTATTAGAAATTAAATATTATATGAACTATACTTTGCAAAGCTTTGTATGTGCTTTCTTGTCTATTACAAAATTATCGTTTATGAAAAGCCTAAATGAGCACTAACGAGCTCCAAGTTATCTGCGTGTACATTATTAGAAATACTCGCAAGTTTTTCCGTTACATGGTTTGAGTGATAACCTCTTAACCACTGATTCAACTGGCTTGGCTTCGGGAAGGCGGGGCTTTGTGACGTAATTAAAGCCGCTCGCGCCCGCGACGCATGTTCGTCTCTCTTGCGCGGGTGCTCTCTGATCACTAGCTAGCTTTAAAAGTCACGGAGCCCCGCCTTCCCGAAGCTAAGTCAGTTGAATTGAATGGTACCTTCGTTGAGTTTTTTCACATTTTCGGACTTTAGGTCTGGTCTCAACATTCGATTATTACTACCATTACAAAATATAATAAATGAGCGATTTTCGCTTCAAATTATGAAGATTTTGAAACATAGGTTACTTTAGTGCGCACTCCTGAAATTGAGAAATACTGTTTCCCCACAAATTTCGCCTATCTCGGCAAGAAAAGGCAAGTGTTAGAAAGAGGAGAAAATTTCGCATTGAATGGTGATTGAGCTGTTTAATATTTTATGTTCTACGAGGTTAAAATAGGCTGAATGTAAAATTTGGTCACTTAAAAAATAAATCGTAGAAATTCTGGAAGACAAGACGTAGGGCTACAAAAATTGCTTCTGTTGGCAAAAGGTTGCCCCATAGGCTGATAATTAGGGCCTCTCCAAAAGTTTTGTACAAAAATTTTGAAAATTAGCGAAATTCGGACATGGTGTAAGCGTGTGGTTGTAATTTCCAGCAAATATCCCGTCACTCTCGCAACGAAAAGCAATGGGAGTTTAGCAGCTGGAAAGAGGAAGAAATTCTGCACTGGATAAGCGTTTGTTTATCTTTATTCTAGCGTGTTTGCCGACGCATTGAAAAATCTGACAGAACTTTCGGAGCAACCTAATATTTACGAGTTTCTTGCATTTAAAATGCCTTGATAGTGTTCCATTTGGTGAGAAAAGATTGCATAATTGTGCAATACTGTAGTTCACTCCGATCTGAACAAAAAAATCTGAAAAACGTTTGATTTTTGGGGTAGAGGGAATGTGCTCGGCCAGAGGTTCTACCGGAGCAGCAACCGTTCATGTCAGCAATTTCACTTTTGTTGGCATCAAAACTGTTTTGAAGCAAGAATAAATTTTGATATTACTGCGTATTCACAAGCCTACAATTCGTATATGACAAAATGTGCATCTTCGTGCGCAAGTTTGGGATGCAAGCAACCTTCCGCATCAAATTTTGAACTGTCCGGTTTTGCGGAGCGACTGCGTTTAAGCCACTTTGTCAGCAATTCATGCGATGACTATCCCTTGTCGCGGCCGAAGGTTGAAATCGAGGACGGTCTAGCTAGGACGTCCCCGTCCTCGTGCTCATAAAAGAAGAACGTGCGAGTCTTATCAAATGCGGGACAAACAGAGCAGAATATTGGGCTCAGTGCGCACGACAACAATATCGGCGACACCCTGACCATCTATTCATATTGAAAAGGGAGGGGGGAGGGTGGTTTTTATATTCTTGAACTCCAGCGGATTTCGTTTCAATTATGATTCATAATGGTATCTTAGATAGCCAAACGTTATTGTTGTTTTTGCGATTTTATGCACGTAAATCCCCGCCGAAAGAGAGGATATTAGCGAGGGGACGCGTATATTTTGTATATTTTGTATTTTGTTTCGTATATTTTGTCTGATCCCCTGGGGATCCCCAGAGGATCACCTCTCATTTTCAAGTGATTATCTTCCTGAGAAGTCAAAGTAAAAGTTGCAAAATTGTCCTGAGTACAAAATACGGCTCCTGCTAAACATGTTTGTTGTAGAAATAAGTGGAATCTCAGGATATCAAAATTTTTGATGAACCACTTCTCGCGAGCTAGGGATGATGGAAAAATTCACAATCTTCAAATTCCATTTCTCCTGTTGAAAACATGTTCAGCAGTGTCGTAGTGTATGACATATCATCAATACGATTTTGCACGGCTTTCATTGAATTTTCAGCAAAATAAATGACTTACAAAATGAGAGATGATTCCCTGGGAATTCCCAGGGGAACACACAAAGTAGTGCAAATGTAACCTTGTTTGGCTGTAACCTGGCATTCATTATGTGCACGTATAAGGGTCCTGTTCCCAGAATTGAAAACACAGATATTGAGTTTTTTCCGGACACTGCCTTAGCTTTGATCGCTTGCGATTTACGCTTCTTTTCAGCATGTTATTTTGGCGTTCACTGGCTTTGCCTCGGTAGTCTTTTTTTCATTTGTGTGAATCAATCTTTGGTTTATAGCTTATACAGCTGGGCATAGTTGCACAGCTCAGTTAATAACTTTTTTCTACAACTTTTCTGCATTTTTCAATACAATTTTGGTGCGCGAGAAAGGCATTACCTATCGTTTTCCCCTCAGCATTTATAAAAACTACCTATCCATGGCGTAGCGTCTGTGCACGCTATCCGCGTTATTCCCTGGAAAGGTTATTGTGTTGAATGAGCATGCAGGGACAAGTTTTGCGAAGACTAAGCAGTTGATCTTGATCAAACACTTTGCTCGGTGTCATGACCGTGCTTTCTTTACGTTGCGACAGTTGTAGGAGGAGTAATACGGGCCAAATGTCTTGCTTACTACTAGCAGGCACCACTAGTGTTGATAAAAAGTTGAGGCGTGGTGAAATATCCTCGAGTCATTTGTAACTTAAAGGCAGTGTCCCGGCAGATTTTGCACCTCCACCTTTTTGCATGTTTTAGGCCTTTTCGCCACGTAGAATCCGAATTTGAGCTTTGAACGGGCTGAAAAGGCCGATTTTGGGGCGTTTTCCTCATTCCAGAAAAGGAGCTTGGACGAGATTTTTAATGGAAAGTTGGGGGAGGTCCTCAGACGAAGATCCTGCCGCCTGTAATTCTTGCTTTGGGTAGCATGCATCATGGGGGAGAGCGCTCGTGGGGTCCCGCGCCGAACAGGCAGGAAAGGCCGTCCAAGCGCGCGCCAGTTAGGGTTGCGCGCGCCGGTTCAAGGGCCATTTTCTCGGCCCAGGGGGAACATCACCCAGCCGGAGTGCGCCTGGAGGTCGATGGGGTGACCAGGAACCCCACCACACTATATCCCCCATTACCCGAATCTGCCGGGACACTGCCTTTAATGTGTGAGACTACACATTATACGCTACTAACAACAGCACCCTTACTAGTAACTTTTCAGTGAAACATTTTCTAATCTGGTAAATTGCAGAAATACGTTTTAGTGATTAACATATATTCAACAAAAACAAAAAAGATAAGACATAAGGAGAAAGCACCGAAAATGAGCAAGCTCTAACCTTGCTGTGCGTCAGTTAGCGCATATGGTGTGCAATGAGCAGATTAAGTTACGAATGACTCGACGATATGTGTTTATAATAACAAAGAATGCCCAAATAAATTCCGAGAATCCGTAAAATATTTAATCGATAAGAATTATTAGTTTAAGTCAGACAATGTGTGAATAGTCATAGCTAGGGTCATAGCTCGTTGAAGCTAATGCTTCTGATTGCCGTTTGGGAGTTTTGAAAGACACTCCGCCAATTTCTTTTTGTAAGTCTCGTGATCCTAAAATAGAGGAATAGCTTGAAAACACGATTCATTACCGCCTAGTAGTCATAATATATTCACATTTTATCAGCAAAATTAGTAGCTAAGTAAGAGGATTTACTTTGTGCTACAAAACATGATTGCTGACCGAATTTGTTTCTTTTCCTAAGCCTGCACTTTTTCATTCCCATTAGCACTGCAAGATAACGTGTCTTGACTTGTCTAAGCCAGTACTTTCACTCAGAAATTTTGTTAAAATTCATTTGTTGTGCAAGGAAAGATGCCTAGCGCGGAAGGCGAATTTTTCGTTCTGGTTCAAAGTAATGAGTGACTATATCTTTTTTATTAATTGTTAAAGGCTTAGAAACATGCTCAAGAAAACACCTAACTAAATCACAAACCTTAACGTATTCCTCTACAATGTCAAAACGTATGGGACGGGATAGATCCGGTTCTGCCAGCAATTGCAGAAGCGACATCATAACTGCAACATTTTCCTTCATAGTCCACAAATACATAGATGAAAGTGAGTAGTATGCAAATAATACTCAAGCACAGGTGTATCATGATACAGCAAGCTATGGGGAGATGAGGAACTTCCTCCTCTTTAGGAAAGAGTTCATGCATTTCGGTTGACGGTTGAACCCAAAAGTGCAGAATATTGAAGGAGTAGAGCCGTTTCACCCTATGAAAAAATTTGATGACTTTTCCACGTGCGTCAGAATTTTTTAGTAGAAATCTCACAATCCTCATTCTCATTTCTTACACATTACGCTCAAACAAGTTGTTTTGAAAAGTGTTATACACTCTGTTATTTTCGATACACTGGAGTTGCGGCATCGAGATTCTGCGGTAAAGCATGCGTTTGACAAAACAGCTACGCTCTATGGTTGGCGCAAAGACCTCCGGCAGTTCGGGAGGGGAGGGGTTGCTTTATTCACAGGGCAATTTTAATGCATTTTTTCAGCACCCGCAAAGCACTATATTATGCTGATAATCTAACAGATCGTACATGTTATAGCAGACCCACTCCATACGAACATTGTTGGCTGCAAAGCTAAGTCATTCCCGGAGTAACCAGAAAGAATAAAAGAATTTGCAAGGCTTTTATAAGAGAAGTTTTATTGAGGGAGCTTACTATCTCCTAGTGTTGTAGCAGGTTTCCAGTTATCAAAGCACAGTATAGGAATACAAATATCTCCTCCACGATCAACATTTGGATGGTAGAGCTAAAAACCATTTATTTGGTAAGTCTTCATTCCCAGGGTATGAACTGCCAGCTTTTTTCGTGACTTTTAGCTCAAAACCTTAGGCTATATTCCAAGATGTTAAGTAGGCTTAGAATATTGGTGAAAGGATCCCGCTTATGACAGCCCTAATAACGCCACCCGAGTGGCGGACGAAGGCTAAAATTGCGTAAACCTGTCAAATCCTGTTGATAGAAGCAAGGACAATGAAATACTTTCATCAAAATCTTGTAACCCAACTCTCGTACAAATGTTAAAATGTGAACTAGTTTGACTTTTGAAGAAGCACGCGCTATATTCCCACCCCACCATTACTTCTACCCCCTTACCTGCGTCCCCGACTTGCGGCACATGTCTAACATGTTGCAACTCAGACAATCGGGGCCGTAGTCGCTGCGGACAGTCGAAATCTGGCAGAGCCGCGGTGGGCCCAATTGACCAATGAGAGCGGGGCGAGGGGGCGGTCCCTTCTTGTAGGTCATGGTGACGTCACAAGCAGGCGAATGAGACCCTCCTCCGGATCTGCTCCGGAGGTACGCCATCTCTGCTCCGGAGGTATGCCGTCAACTGTCTGAGAACGTGCAGCAACATCTGGGGCGGTATGTAACAATCTCCCATCCGGGTAAGGGTTCCCATTCAGGTAGTATCGCTTCAAAGCTTGGTGCTCTGGGAATCCTTGGTCTTTCTTGTTTGTTCATCTTTTGGATGCTCTACTACCCTAATATAGTAGCATAATGAATAGAAGCACTTTCTGTATAGGCTGAGATTCTCGTTATCTTGTATGATCCTGAACGGAATCCCGAGGGAATCACGGCTCAAAATCGTCTAATGACAGAGTTAAGCATGTCTGTGATGAAAACAACTGAAAAATCAAAAGGTCGGAATCTTCGGTGAACCTCCGCTCGCAAGTTGGAATTTATCAAAGAATTCAGAACTTCCACATTTCGTCTGTGCTGCTGTACCATGCGTAGCACTGTATTAAATAGACAGCAAAACTTTACAACAATTTCATCAGGTTCTTGCAAATATAAATAACTCTAAATGAGCTGTGACCCGTGGGAAATCCTGTTGGGATCATACAAGTAACGAATTATCTCAGCTTATACAGCGAGCTGCTATTCCTGATGCTACAATATTAGAGTAGTAAAGCCTCCAAAAGATGAACAAACAAGAAAGAACACAGATCCACGAGCACCAAGCTATGAAGCGGATACTACCTAAATGGGAACCCTTACCCGGAAGGGCGATTGTTACATACCATCCCTGACCTCATAAGTTCTTCACAACGCAGAGCGTAACAGTAATCACAGTTTGGGCCATAGCTTTAGCTTACCCTAGGTAAGGTTCAAACGCAACGGGTGAAGCAACAAACTTCAATTTCTTTACTTTTGGGAGGCACCTAGATGACGCCATTCTCTTGGAACGGTATTTACCATCTGATTCAACTGGCTTGGCATCGGCAAAGGCGGGGTTTCGTGACCTAATTAAGGCTACGTAATGATCAAAGAGCGCTCTCGCGAGAGAGACGCAGGTGCATCGCGGGCGCGAGCGGCCTCAATTAGTCACAAAACTCCGCCCTAATGGTGCCAAGAGAGTTGAATCAAAGGTTATCTATTTTTTGTTTGATACGCTCGAGGGATCGCAGTGACTCGACAGACACAAAAAAATATTCCAAAGCAAACAGTAATTACAGCAGTAGCCAATGGTGAAAAAAGACAAATTACGATATCCCGCGATCTGTGTCGCGCCTTAAGCCTAGTAAGCTGCTCCTGCCTAAAAAAAATCCAACAAGCAATCGGACTATAAGCAAAACTCAGACAACAACAGCTTGAAGTACAGACTTTCTTCAAATTATGCAAACGGAAATATTACTTGAGCCCATCCACATTTTGAATGTGGATATAAATGCTAGACCATTTGCCTTCCTCGTATTTACCGTGAAAAAGAAAGAGAAAGCTTACCGAATGGGCAAAACGAACGTCCGGAGGGCGAAATGGATAGTCGCCTGTCATGTCAATATTCACGGTCATCACTTTGTGAGCAAAGAGTGGGTGGTCCTGAATGTTGATGATGTAGTTCTACGTACACATCTACCTTGTATGTGCTCACAGATTTAAACTTCACGTTGTACGTTTCTCTGTTACCAACTTTGGCGACAGAAACAATAAATTTTTTCCCAGAAAGTTCAGCAACCTCCTAAAATCAATGCTTGATTTCCAAAAAACTAACGTTCTGAATGCAGATTCTTATTTGAATGTCGTGCATTATCTGACTACGGCAGTATACTCCACATACTCCATTAAAAGATTAGGCAATATAAAATAAAAATAAAGCTGAATGTCTGTTTGTCTGACTGTACGTCTGTATGTCTGTCTGTATGTACGTATGTTCCAAGTAGAGAATTTCCATTTCTGAACTGATCCGGATCAAACTCTGCACACATACACTTCGGGGCGGGGCGGGTGTCGTAGGCAACTTTTCATTATCGATCGATATCGATCTTATCGTTTTTTGTAAAATTTGAGCTACGGGGCTGGGAGTTGGACAGGGGGGTACGAACATGCTGATCATAACATAGCGGAATAGAGACTTGGCATGTAGAAGTGAGCACTAGGAATGGTTGTACACAGGGCCCGGCACGAGGTGGGCAAACGGGGTTTTCCAAAACGAATTCCCCTTTGATCCCAATAAATTTTACGAATACCTCCTTGAGCCCAAAAATGACGTTTTGTACTTGTGCGACGAGATTACCGGCCACACTTAGCTTAAAAGCGCTCAAAAGCGCCCAAATTGCTCAAATTCCTCAAATTACTCCTCAGCTGTATCAAGATAGGAAACAGGAAGAAAAATAAGCAAGAAAAATGATTAAGGAATGAGAAAATATCAAAGAAACGCAGTCGTAGGAATGAGAGACGCCGTTCCCGCGCGTATCGATTGACTGGGGCGCGCTTTCCATCTTAGGCTCCCGCCAGAGTGCCGAAGTTATGCCAGCGCTACGCCAGCATTTCGATCGATACATGTGTATTTCGTTGGGGACGTCAGCTAGCCCCGCCCAACGAAATACACGTGTATCGATCGAAATGCTGGCGTAGCGCTGGCATAACTTCGGCACTCTGGCGGGAGCCTTAGAAAGCTAGGCTGCTGATGCGATTTTGGGCTCTAACAAGGACAAGAGGAGGAGTTTCGGAACCAAAATTTCACCGTGTAGTAAACTTTAGGTGTACAACAGATTTATGTAAAAATTTTGAAAAAATTATGTGAATTGAGAGTTTTGCCGACCTCAGGTGGGAATTAGGTCGGCAAATGCCGACCTAATTTGGAAATTAGTTAAGCACGCTCTTCATTCACATAAGTTTTTCATAATGTTTCATACTTTATTACTTAGTCCTATTGCGCATATACACACCGAATCCCGCGCGATTTCGTTACCTCTGCGTTGCAAACGAGCCATTTTTCCATTTCTTTGGTAGCGCAAAATTTTCAGAAAAAAGTTTGCCACAACCTTCAGTCACATAATTTTTCTATGAAACTCCTCAGTTAAGCCCTGCAAGCTCGTATGCATGTACTTACCAAGTTTCATACTATATCGTTCATCTGCGCGTTTAAACGAGCCGTTTGAATTCACATCTTCATTTACCAATTTTGCGAAATTCTCGGAAAAAATGCTAATTACTCGTTCCGTTCACATAAGTTTTTCATAATTTTATACTATGTTTCCACTAGCCTCTCTCCGTTCGCATACAAAATTTGGTGTCATATCGTTACACATACATTGAGAACTAGTCATGTATGCTGTTACAAATAGCATCGCTTGGACGACGTCGCGCGTGCGGCAATTAGCGACGGCGCTGTTTGACGCGCGCGAACTCCAGTGTTCGCCTGTTGAGGCACATAACATGTCAAGATAAGTAGCGAGCATGAACTACCAATTTTTTTCCGGGGCTCCGCCCCGGACCCCGCAAAAACGATTTCCCCTTTGCTTTTTGGCCCCAAAACGATTTCCAGCTTGTCATTTGCCGACCTCGTGCCGGACCCTGGTTGTACAGAAAGGGATGGAACTATCATAGTATGACAGGGCCGGCGGAGCCGGGTAAGCCAGCTAGTATAAAGTAAAACACAAAGCGGACAGCAACAGTTGCGTTTTGTTCTCTTCCTAAGCTGTTTGAAAGAAAATTATTTGAACTGCCATGTAAGAGTGGAACAAGGAAATGTAACGCATCAACGCAACTCTGCTGCAAATGACTCAAACCTAGATGACTGCGTAAAAGCTCACCAAAAAAGCCAGAAAGTGTTTTTCTAGCCACTGTCGACCATCTGTACTTTTGTATTCGTTGAGTACATCAGTAATGTTTTCAAAAAAGTACTTATATAGCGCGTGTGCAGGCGCTCTCGCCCCGCTAAGAAATAAGTCCACGGAAGGTATATGCCTTGTCCAACGCATGTTAGTGATAAAGCAAGTGAAACAAAAAGTTATGAGTTTTTCTAAAACCGCGATTCGCGAGCAAGGGTTCGTCGCGGATTTCATTTCGACCCGAGATTTCAGATTTCTACTCCGCTTGTTTCTGCCGCGGACATGCGTTAACAGCGGCATATTAAGTAAGTACTTATTGTTAGCATTTTTATGCCTTCGTTTAGTTTGTGGAAAGATGAATAAGTCAGAAAGCTGTGAAAACTCGGTTTATGTGCATTTTAGTGCGCTGTCATTCATTATGCCAATATTAAGGGTCTTATTTCGATATTACTATATCACTGAACTAGCCTCCGAAAGGCGGGTAGAAGAGATTCACACGTTTGGAGAACGTACATCAAGATACAAAGGTTCCCTAACAGCTCTTCTCTCCTTCCAGCGGGAATGTACATGCATCATGAACATTCTCGCTAGGAAAGGAAGAGCAGCTTAAAGAAGATCACGTTGTCTACCATGCCCAAGTATCCCAACTGCACTTCATCAAAACTTGAACAAAAAGATGTTGTACAATCATTTCCTGCTTTTCTCCAGATGATCTACGGCGACCGAGCGTCTCCTTTCTGTATCATTCTTCTTTCTTTGAATGTTCATCGACAATGTGATTAGGCTGTTCCTATTGAAAGTATGTTTAGCGCATAACTGGCCTAGCAATCAGTACAACTATGTTAATATTCTCAACTCAGAAAAAAATATACCTGAAAAAGAGACGGTGGTTGAGTGCAAGAGACCATACTGCATGAGCAACCTCTCGCTCCTGTTCTCCTGTTCTCCTCCCCCCCCCCCCCCCCAGCTAGATACTCCTGCATGCACCTACAGGATAGAGACGCTTCCCTATGATTTTTTTCGTAGAAGAACCCATATGCGGGCTTTTTCAAAGGTAGATCATTATGTCATTAAAGATCTAGAAAAAACCATAGTAGCAGAAGCTTCAAAAATGTAACTTGAAGCTCGATAGATACTTGGTGAAAATACCTACACAGCAGATAGTTGACTTGAATCATGATCACAAACACGTAACTAAGTCTGTTGAGAAATCAACAGTCAAGGCGCGGATTACAATTTTTGAGGAGCAATAGCTCAAAAAATATTAAGAACTGCCTGGGCAAAGGTAAAATATACTAATCATAGCCGTATTCTATGCAGCCCGTATTTTCTGAGTTGCTACAGTATCCTAAGCTTTGCTAGCTACAGGTATTGTGAAATGATGTACAGGCTGCATTTTCACTCTAAATTCATTCTGCGCAAGTCTTTGGTAGCTTTTTTGTTGGGAGGATCTGCAGGATCACAAGACAAAAGTACCTTTTTTACGCGAGACGATTGCACCTGCTTGATGTACGAAACAGGCATCGAAAACGAAACAAATGATTCTAACTCTGATTGATCTTGAAATGTATTCTTGTATTAGCTTATCATCAACGCGTTGACTTATCTATCAAGCAGTTATTCACTTTGAACATCAAAATCTAGATTCGCAGTGTGTATATTACGTTCGTTTTGCTGTGTCGCACTTGAATCCTGATCCATTATGTTTGTTGTATTCTATATTGAAGTCTAAATTCAAAATCAACTTCAGGAAAGACACAGTTTATCTCATCTTTCCCAAAATTGAAAGTCTTCGTGATTTATCAAGCAGTACAGCTGAGACAGGCACAACCTTGGTTACAATAAGCTGTTCCAAAAATTTTCTACGTTTGCTTAGTCCTGTCATAAAAACACGTAGGACTAAGATGGACAAATATAAAAAACCCTTTTGCCCTTCATATCATTATGCCGATTATGACAGACTATTTATAAACCAGTGCGTCACCTCTGCTTCGCAGAGGCTCGCACTGGCTCTTCTATCTATATGTCATACTCCTTCCCGCATAACATGGCATTGAAACTCACCGCGCAATGCCCGCCTACACGAATGATTCGTAAACAACTACTCATTCCTTAAGCTTTTTCGTGTGAGATTGGTATTTTGCGTGGATGAAACTTTGGAAAATGAAGAACAAATGCAAATTTGAACAGGTTTTGAAACTTTTTTTGGCTTGCTAGTCGCCATAAGGACAATAGTTACGTGAGCTACATCTCTATGCAAAAATCTTCTCAAATGCTCAAGTAAAACCACAGCGGATTGACCATTTACGCGACCATTTCTTTTTGGCGTCGTTTTCGTAAAGTAGCAAACCTTTGGTCACTTTTTGGTCTAAAGTCCATGGCTTACACATCAACCTGTTAAACACATCCACGGCTTTGCAAAAAGCGTTGATACGGACCCAATTTTGCGGGCCAGAAGCCAAGTGGATCCGTTTGACGCGCAAATTCTGAGGGATCCACTCAACGAATCCGTTCGTGCTTTTGCATGCTGGAGTTCTACCTTGGTAGCATGCGCTATGTAAAACTTGGGCTCGGGATGGTGGCTGGAACCCGCTGTATGAATTTCGTTACAGACAGACAGACGCACAGACAGACAAACAGACAGAAACACACACAAACACAAACACACACACACACACACACACAAAGTCACGTAAACACCCTTAGCCCGTTATTATATGTTATAAATCTTTGACGCGCTGGGCAATCCTCAATGATGTCCGTCACAGTCGAGCGGACTGACTGTTTCGGCGGTGGATAAAATGTTGGTGACTGTTATTTCGAATTGTTTCGTACGTTGATATTAGACAAGATCTGAACTTGCAAGTTAGAGGAGAAATTTGGTTGTCTGGAATGAAAACCATGAAATTGCAATTACCTTTCAGGCCTCCGAAGAAGATGATACTTGTCAAAACGTCAGGTGGTATAGACGTGACGTACATCGTGAGCTAAAACTTCACTTCCTTTTTTTGAATTTCGCAATGATGAGAGACGTAAATAATAGACTAGAGCTTAACTACACCATGTTGCGACCTGGGTAATCGAGAACGTTAGAAATTCTTCTTATACAGTGCTGGACAAAATTATAGGTCCACTCTAAAAAGTGCCATAACTCACTCTGTTGTCAATAAAACGTTCCAAAATTTGGTACGGCAGGGTGTTTATCAGCCTACCAGTCATCAAAATGTGTCTCGTTTTCGTTTGGTTATTCAAGAAAGAATTGAAAATTTTGAAAAAAGCAGGCTTGAAGGCTGGACACTATTATAGGTCCACCTGGAGTTTTCACTGCTTAAAGCACTTCTTAGCGCCCGAATTTTTTTAGGTAGGCACGCATCCAAAAACGTTGAGCAGCTGCTTTGGTCAATCTGTGTCATACCTCCAAAAAGAACTGATTATCTGCTTTTTTGCCTTGCAAATGCTTTCACATGTATTTCGCTCCACAAACCTGCGTTGAGTAAGAAATTCTGCAGTTTCTTAGCTAGATCGGAAGCGACGGGATTTTATCTACCTTCTGGATGCTTTTTGACGTGAGCATTGAGGAAAAAATCACTTTTGCTGCTGAAGCAAATTCGACATCGACTCAATCGGGAGAGTAAGCCTCAGTTTTTGCCCTAAAACCCTTTATGCATTGTCATTATAACCTCAAGATGTTGTAGAAGCATTCTTTACACAAGAATAAAGGTGTTCGCCATACTCGCAACTGTCCACAAAGCTGCCTTGCTTCTTTTTCGAAACATGAGTTGCGCGTTCAACGTAATGATGGTGTTACGCAACTCCAAAATAGCTTGCCAAATATTATCTCGCTTAGATTTTCGACAGTAATTATTTACTAGATAGTGGATGCAGCTTGTACTGTATGTTAGCACATGATTCTTCTGAAAATTTTGGTCGGAGCCACAAATGGCTTTGGTGCTTGTCGTAATCAATTTTTGCAGGATGATTTCAGTGATTATACTCGAATGCTAGGGTCTCTAGAAAGTTGCAACCATGGAATACGGGCTCTTCTTCAACAGTGCCTTTACTTTACTTAATGTTTCTTGCTTCTGAGAACATTGTAAAAGAAGTTCGTAGGCAGAAATTTGAGCTCAGGGTTGCAGTATTCTTAATGTCGGATTTGCTTCAGCAGCAAGAAGTCGGATTTTTCCTCAATGCTCACGTCAAAAAGCATCCAGAAGGTAGATAAAAACCCGTCCCCTCCGATCCAGCTGAGAAAGTGCAGAATTTCTTATCAACGCAGGTTTGTGGAGCGAAATACATGTGAAAGCATTTTCAAGGCAAAAAAAGCAGATAATCAGTTCTTTTTGGAGGTATGACACAGCTTGTTAAGCAGCTGTTTAACGTTTTTAGATGTGTGCCTACCTAAAAAAGTTCGGGAGCTAAGAAGTGCTTTAAGCAGTAAAAACTCCAGGTGGACCTATAATTTTTCAAGCCTGCTTTTTTCAAAATTTTCAATTTCTTATAACCAAACGAAAACGAGACTCATTTTGGTGACTGGTAGTAGGCTGGTAAACACCCTGCTGTACCAAATTTAGGAACATTTTATTGGCAACAGACTGAGTTATGGCACTTTTTAGAGTGGACCTATAATTTTGTCCAGCACTGTATATAAAGCTGAATGTCTGTTTGTATGTCTGTCTATATGTCTGTATGTATGTGTGTACGTGTATGTTCCGAATAGAAAATTTCATTTCTGAGCCGATCCGGACCAAACTTGGCACACATACGCTTCGGGCCCGGCAGGTGTCATAGGCTACTTTTCGTTATCGATCGATATCGATTTTATCGATTTTTATCGATTTTTTGCAGAGTTTACCTACGGGGCTGGGAGTTGGCACAGGGGGATAATCGAGCATGGGGATTCCGAATACAATATTAGTTTTCAGGATTGTCGATCACTTTTGTCGATTTTATCGATTTTTTTGCAAAATTTGAGCTACGGGGCTGGGAGTTTGCACAGGGGGATCATCAAGCATGCTGATTACGAGTTCGATATTAGTTTGGCGCTATTCGGCTAACGGGCCCCAAAATTTTTTGTCGTAGAGCTTGCTCAGACTCGTGTATAGGGGTTATCTTACATGCTGATTACAGATATCACACTTTCGTCGCAGAAAGTCTCCCCATGTGGTTACGATAGGTGTACGGTACGAAGTCAAAATCATGAATTCGGCTGGAGTTCGGTCCAGAAAACTTATTCGACATGCTGATTACGAATTTCATACTCTCTCTGCATATTAAGACCTCTTCATAGAGTTAGGGTGGTTATATACGGTGTGGGGTCGAAAACATGGATTTGCTTCAAACTTCGTCAGGGTGGTCATTTAGCGCACTGGACATAAATATCATGTTGATTTCGCAGGATGGTGCATTTTCTTGGGTTACGGTGGGTGTAGATGGGTCGAAGTTCCAGATTTGCTCAAAACCTTACCTGTAACGGTTCACAAGTATACTGCTTATGAATATGATGCTTGCTCGCTGTCATAACGCGTTAGTAAAGTTATGGTGAGTTGCAGGGTTTAAATGGACATTTTTTCGCTTTCGGGCCAATTTAGATCCCAGATATTCACGAAATGGGGTAACGGTTGGTTTGCATGGCGGTCTCCAGCGCCATCCTGATAGCCTGTCCCAAGGTGCAATGCACGCAGCAAATCTCCCTCCCCCCCCCTGTTTTTGCTTAGGCAAAAGCCGCCGAAAGGTGTATCGCGCGCGGCAGTGGTCCTATAAGAGCATTACGGTCGTGGGAAACTTTTATACCACACGAATTGCCATCATCATGGGGATTAAGCACGATATTTTTGAAACAGCATTTTAGGTAATTCCCTGCCAAGGTTTCAAACAGGTTCATGATTTTTACCCTCTGCCACGCGAAATGGCTAACATATTCGTCATCAGCGGCTTGAATAACCCCCATATACCGAGTTTGAGCAAGACACGCTACAAAAATATCTTAGGGCCCGGGTAGCCGAATAACGCTATCAGTTTTTAGAATTATCCTTACTTTGATGTTATTATTTTTTTTGCAAAGTTTGAGCTACGGAGCTGGGGGGTTGGTGAGGAAGGTAGGTGAGCATACTGATTACTCACACAGCGGGACAAGGGAATTGCATGTAGAAGTGAGCACAGGTAAAGGTGTACAGGGATAGAAATGGAACCTTTATCGTTTTGACAATGCCGGGCGGAGCCGGGTAAGCTAGCTAGTAGATTACAAACTATAGAATTACAGAACAAAAATCAAGGACTGTGAATTTCTTGGTTCATCTGCCTTTTACCACAAATTTTTTTAATTCATTTACTGCAAATGAAAGCCATCGAAGCATTCGGTGCAGCATATTGGTAACTATCTGAACCCGGCTCCGCCCTGCTTTGTCAATAATATATTGGTAATCAGCATGCCCACTTACCCGCCTGTGCTTGACGACGGCGACCTTTTTTTTAGTCGACGTTTCGTTTTTGGGGGATTTTCGGGAATTTTTCAGGTTTTTAGAAGA